GGGGGGCCAATGCCTGAGAGAAGTGACGGACAGAGGGCATCGGCCCAGACCCCGGTGGATTTCGAGCCACCCCCTTGGGAGTCTGGGATATGCTGCAGTAGCCACTATTGGCCGGGCAGGCCCGCGGTTTGGCTGCATTGGATCCAGTCTAAAGTAGGCTTAGCTGCTTGCCATCTTGTCCACTGTGTCTTTGTCCCATCAACAAGCAATAATTTACTCCGTAGATAGTTCAGTGTGGCTGATTCCCCCCGGAGTGCCCGCCGTAGCAGACCGAACGGAGGGCTAACTTTAATTGAGTTAACTTAACTCGCGCAAGTCACAAGCCAGCTAACGGTCCACCACCACCATCACCACCAGTTGGCCTCTACCGACGGGAGGCGCAGGCAGTGACCAAGCTGTCGGGTATTGGTGGAGGGTTCGCGTCCGCGGTACCATTACCGCCACCCTTGTGTCCAGTACAGTGCTATAGTATCACCAACAACCACTAGGTTACTGCATCCATCACCACTACTCCAATACTAGCACTAGACTACTATCATCACTTCCCCTCTCTTCTGCTCCCCCCCACTGCAGTGCAAGATCGCAGATGCCTGTCCGAGGCTCATCGCCTCCTCTCCTGCACTCCACATTCGCATGTGTTTCCCCAGCATTTCTCCCACCCCCTGCACCTGAGCATGGTTTGGGCCATGCTGGTTGGATGACAAAGGTCCCTTCCCTCCATCGCACTCCCGACTGAGGCAAACATGACAGGACCGGAGCACGAATGATCTCCTCCCCACCGGAATTACCTGGCAGGAAGTAAGTAGCCTTTCATCTCCATTCCGATCGGAGACAGCGGTCTAATCTTCCTCCCATGGCGGATTGCAATTCGAGGATATTACTGTCCCCCCCGCCCCTCTTTTCCCCTCCTCCCTCTCCCCCGTCTGTGCAGGTTAGGTCCCTAAAGGACCCCTCTGCCACCCGTGCTGGTCACCACGGATTGGCAGGCACGCCTTCCGACCGTGGAGAACGGTCAACGGGTCGGAATAACTTGAGGATCGTTGATGCCGCCGCTGCTGCTGCTGCTGCTGCTGCTGGATTGTTTTTCTTGACTTGATCACATTGATAGACTAGACGCACTCGTTCTCCTTCCTGCCCATCGTTCCCAGATTGCATATACGATCCCTACCGAAACCACCACCCCCTACACCACATTCCTCCAGCCTGACCACCTTACGTCCCCTTTCCTTTCATACGGCAATCCAGCGCATCTCCGTTTCTAGCTCAGGGGCTAGACTTCTCATGTCGGAAAGTGACAGATAAGACTCGTACGTTACAGGCAGAAAAAGGAGTCTGGCTGCCCCGACATGCAGCCTCCTCGCTTACTGTATACCGTACTGTACACAGCACCGGGAGCAGATGCTTATTGCAGTACCTCAAGGCCTAGCCCAGGTGATCGGCCTGCAGCGTGCGGCAGAGGCGTGCCTGGATACATCCAACCAACCTTTATTTAGTCTTTGATCGGAGCCGAACGGGTCGCGTGAGTGGCTTCATGGTCATCTACCTTGCTATCTCGTGGTCCACGCCTCGGCTGCTCCGTACAGTATAACCCTAGCAAAACTGGCGCGCTCTGTTCTACCTATAGACGACATGTACTACACGTTCAACTACTAACTACTATCTCTTGCTACTTCGCTGTATCTTTGCTAAACGACCACCACTGTAGCTACAGGAGGTGCCTTCTTACTGGGCAAAGTATCTGTTTTGGCTACTATGTGCTGTACTGTACTGTACTCGATAAGTTTATCCCAGGCTGACGGCTCTTTGTCCGGCCCAGCCAGCCACCTCTGCTTTGATCACAAAAGAGAATCACTCAACTGTGAAATACGTGGACGTGAGATGTAGAGGACTGGAAATGTAGAGGACTTCCCGTATCAACTGTTTCGCTGCGGCTGACTTCAAGACCTACCTTCTGATCACTGTATATGAGTTTCCTCCACCTAGTGTCAGGAAACCCCTTCGTTTGTCGATCATAACGGATGCTAGCAGTTAGCGCTAGGAGACTAGGCAAGTATCAGAGATTGGGCTTAAGAGCGCAGCGGCGAGCACAGTCAATCAGAAGTCTCTAGCATAGGACGGACGATCATCATGGCGAGCTCATTCCAACTATGCCCTGATCCGCCTTCCTCCGCTTTCGTTGACACTGAAGCCAAGAGACTACTCCTTGCTATGGGGCCTTGTGGAGTGAGAGGTTGCCAGTGCATCTCCGGAGAGAGCACATCCAATCTGGATTACCTGCCCAGCAAAGCACGGTGTAGCATATGTTCACATCCCCTAAGCCAGCACGACAGCTATGGTTCGCTACCCGTTTTGCTCCTAGAAGCTAGATCATTGGGTTTCTACTGCTGATCAATACGCCCCCAATCGCCAGGTGCCCGACTTCCAGGGGCACAGGTAACCGAGCCCCAAGGTGCGTAACGTTTCTGGTGTGTGAAAGGATGCTTCTCGTTGACCTACTCTCTCTGCAGCTGTTCCGACGTGGACTGCTAAGCGATCTCGCGTCGTCAATGACCTGATCGCTCGCCTGGACCGCTACTGCCTGATGCGAGTGAACGGGACCCCAGCCTCCGGGAAGACCACGATGATGAATCTTGTCGCCAACGAGTTGCTCGTGCGTCCCCCGACCACGCCGATCTATATCCTCGACGGCTGGGAAGAGGCCCGGGTTGAGAAAGCCGGCGGCTGGACCCTTTATCTGAAAGCACCGGTTGGGGTCCCCGGACGTTCGCTCCGAAATCATTCGTGTTACATCCTGGTGGACGAGGCACACGAATCATACTGGGACAAGCAGCTATGGAGTGCTCTCTTCAAATCCTGCGGGCCCGGCGACGCGGCGAAGATCGTCCTGTTCACCTGCTACGGCACGGCCGAGGACGACGACCATCGGCCGGAGCAGTATTTCAAGACCCCGATGACCTTCCTTCCGCACCAGCAGATATCACTTCGGCCGGAAGCGCTGGACCCAGAGTGGAAGCCGATTGGCTTGCTGCTCGAGGAGAGCGAAGCCAACGATATTCTTCCGCAGGTTCTGCCCACTGTGATTCCAAATGGTGAGAAGCTTTTGACGGAGGAATTGAGACACGGACTGTTCCTGGCCAGTGGCGGGCATGCTGGGTTATTCACATCCCTGATACATGTCCTGCGAGCGATGCCGGTAAGCGTAAGCCAATGTTCGCGAGCTGGTTGGGAAGGGCCTGCATGCCTGGCTAACCAGTCTTTCCCAAATAATCAAAGCTCCAAAAACCGATCCAGGGCCGTCGCCCCCTCGACTGGAAAACCGCATGCGACGGGCTTTTCAGTGATGGTCCGCTGTTCTTCGAGCATATCCGGACCACCATCTGCTCTCGAGGCTTACCAAAACAGAAGGTGATGCAAAACTCCGCTTATGCGACGGTTTTCAAGCATGCGATTGCGTGCCACGGAACTCGCCGTTCGAGCTTTCCCAACAACTCGGATGAAGAGAGGGCGCTCGAAGATATCTGGAGAAACGGGTGGCTCCATGGAGAGCATATGGAGGGAGGAGGTACATACTACATGTTTCCCACCCAAGTGCATCGTTGGTAACGTTACCTCTGTCGATCACTCAAGAGTCTGCCTGATTTTGCTAGGCTAATCAAGTAGTTGCTGGCTGTAGGTACTGCCAGTTCCTCTTCAAGCCAAGCAATCCCCGAAAAGAACTCGTCTATCAGTCCCCCCTCGAGATGGCGGTCGACGCGATACGCAGATTCCACCCCGACCAGCTCTCGAACACCCCTGCGATGCCGATTGAAGACCAGTGTCAGAAGGAGTTCTACCGCTGCCTCTTTTCCCCTGCTGATCGAAAGCCAACTTACCGTTTCCCCGGAGTATCTGATCAAGACGGGGCTCCGGAGCGGGCGGATTGATTTTCTGGTGCCCCAGAAGCAGTGGGGAGTCGAACTGCTTCGAAGCGGCGACCGGATCCGGCAGCATATGCAACGGTTCAAGAAAAATGGCCCGTATTTCCCCATGCTGAGGAAGGAGCTGATCCAGGAATATATCGTTCTGCCCGCGAACGCTTTCTTTTGTGGCTAGTTAGCTAACTAGCTATCTATCTATAGCACTGGTGTGCCGCCTGGTTTGCAGATATCATCTTTCTCTGGCAAAGAAGTGACGCTGCCATAGCGGGGGTTTTCTTGCTTCCCATGAATAATGACAGCACATTTGTCACTGGTTCTTCTGGGTACAGTACAGCACAAGACAAAAGAACACCTTTTCCCTCTCCACCATGTTCATTCTTTCCATTGCGGGGGTGTCTTTGGTGATTAGTATGTATGTCACGGGGAACATGAGTCCGTGAATAGTATTGGTCCAGGCCTGCATCCCAAAGCTCAAAGCACAGCGACCCTGCAAGCACAGGGGCCAACTAGAGTACGGGGAAATGGATTAATCGGTTGCTGGACAGATAGGCACTATACTCAAGATATCTGACGTGATTTGTTACAGGTTGCATCAGATGGATCGTAACCTACCCGTGACTGTACTATCATTCTTTGTTCTGCGTGGTATTGTATACGGAGTACCAGTCTGTAGACTTTCCGCCGGGTAGACACCTCAACCGGACCACTACACTAGAGTTTTTTGACTGCTTGCTGCTGCTGCTGCTGCTGCTGCGGAGCTCTTTCTGGACTTGTCCGTGTGACCTACCGTAACTGCCCTCCAAGTAAGCATACAGGCCTAGCTTGAAAGTTACCTAGTCAGGTTAGACTAGGTTACCGTATCAATGAATGGTATTGATTCATCCTCCCTGTCCGAGTGACGGTCACCCCCAAAACACCTCCCAAAATCCGAAAGGACCAGCCCAGGACCGTCACAACTCGGCTAAACTTGACTACCTAGTGCATGGATACGAGTCGTTCCCAGTCAAAGAAATACTACTCCACGGGAAATAGATCATCCCTTAATCTCGAGAACAGACAAACCTCACCGCATCAGAAATATGCCCGTTGGGAATCCCTCATGGTGTTGGCGACGGGAGTAGGGAAAAAAAAAGAAGAGAAAAACCAACCCCATCACATGACAGGAATGTCTGCATCGCATCGCATCGCATCGGTATGGAAGAACGACCTAGACCGGTCCAGACCGTAGTGGGGATGGGGTACTCCGTAGAGGGAACCGCAAGAGCTGGGGGACAGACGGACAGACAGATGCATTGATGCAGTGTGCAGGCGGCTGACCAAAGGGAAAAAAGCCTTTCTTTCTCTGGTTTGTTTGGTTTTCGGTTTCTGGGTCGGTTTTTTTTTTTTTGTTTTGGTTCATTTGTTTTCTGGGGCTGACGGGAATGGAGCAGGGCGGCGTTCGCCGTGGCGTGGTGGGTGTGTAGTCTATCTGGCGATGGTTCCGGGGTGTATACTGTACAGTTCTTTGGGTGTGGTGCAGAAATCAGGGATTTGATTTACCTTACCTCCGGAAGACTGGTTTGTTTGTGTGTGTCTGGTTATGCTTTTGTAAGGCTATATAGTTGTTGAGTCATAACATGTGAACAGCACCTCCTTTTTCTTTGCTTTGCCCAGACACCCCGAGCAATACTCCATACAGTAACAGTAACAGTAGCGACCACCCTCACCCGTCAGCTACTGCTGCTGCTGCTGCTGCTGCTGCTGCTCCTTCTCCTGCCCTCCTTCCCCTGCCCTACGCTCCTCCCCATCCTCCACATAAACATGATACTTATACCGACTTCCCGGATGATCCTCGCGTAACTCCCTCTGCCCGAGTCCATACACCTTCTCCCGCATCGTCACCCCTTCCTGTTCCACCGGAGAATCCGGATACAACCCGCGCCGCCGCAACTCGGGCACCAACAACTCGACGACATCCTCGAACGTGCCCGGCGTCGTCACATACGCGACATTGAACCCATCGAGATCGGCCTCGCGCACCCACCGCTCCATCTCATCCGCCACCTGACCGGGATCCCCGACCGCGACGGGGCCCAACCCGCCGATGGCCGCCTTCTGCGCCACGACCCGCGGCGTCCACCGCGGCACCTCGGGGCTGGTCGTCGTGAATGCATCCAGCATGCTGCGCACCTTGTGCGCCTCCGTGCTGTCCGCCGCCGTGATGTCCTGATCGATCGGGATCCGGGAGATGTCCACCCCCGTCCACCCGCTGAACAGCACCAGCCCGCCGACCGTCGACGCGTACCGCTGCGCCTCGGCCAGCTTGGCCTGGGCCTCGGCCTCCGTGCGCCCGAGGATCGGCGTGAACGTCCCGAAGAATTTGAGGGACGCTGGATCGCGCCCCTGCGCCGCGGCCTGCGCGCGGATGGCGGCGATCTTCGGGCGCAGGACGCTGGGCGCGTGCGCCGACACGAAGATGGCTTCGGCGTGCGTCGCGGCGAACTGCGAGCCGGCGGTGGAAGTGCCTGCCTGGAACAGGAAGGGCGTGCGTTGCGGGGACGGGTCCACGATATGCCGCGTCGACAGGTGGAAGTACTTGCCTGTGTGGTTGATCGTCCGCACTTGCGTCGGGTCGATGTAGCTGTCTTCGGCCGGGTTGGGGGATAGCGCGGTCGGGGACCAGGAGGACTCCCAGAGTCTATTCACGGGAGTCAGTAGGGGCTGGGGTGGGGGTTCGGGGTGGGCTGGATGCTGGGCAAGGGTTACTTGTATAGCACGCGCAGGTACTCGTCGGCTTGGGCGTAGCGCTCGTCGTGCTCGATGGGAGTGTCGATGCCGATGGCCTTGAAGGCGGCTTTCTTCCACGAGGTCACGACGTTCCAGCCGATGCGCCCGTTGGTCAGGTGGTCCAGGGTGGAGAAGCGTTTCGCGAGGAGGAATGGCGGCTCGAAGGAGGTGGAGGCCGTGATGCCGAAGGCGAGGTTCTTGGTCACCGCCGCCATGGCGGAGATGGGCTGTCAGGGCTGGTGAGCATCCCGGATAGATATTCAATTGAGGTGCACTGGGTCGCGGGGGGGCCGGTGGGATGTCTCATGGCTCCCCCGCAGACATCCAGTGTGATCATTCGATGTAGACGAAGCTGTACCAAACAGCGGTAGAGAACGTACAATCGTGGGATCCGTCATCGGCCACTGCGCCGCTCGTCGGATACATTCATCCAGGCTCCCCTCGTACGTATCATATCCCCCATAGGTATCCGCCAGGAACAAGGCCGTGATGCCCCCGCGCTCGAGCAACTGGGCCAGATCCGTCCAATACTTCAGCGTGCGCTTCGTCCCCGACCGGTCCGTGGGGTTCTTCCACTGCCCGGGCGACAGGTGGCCGACTGTGGACATGTCGAACGCGTTCAGCAGGATCTGCTTTTTGGGCGCATCGGGGGTCGCTGGGGTGGAAGACATGGTGGCGGCTTTGCTTGGCTTGTGCTTTTCAGGGTTCAATTATGTAGGATACCAAGGGATAGGTACGTTCCTATATAGCTAAACCGTGTCGCTTGCAGCGATGGGCATACCCCTCACGCGCCATCAATCGATCGCATTGCGTGACATCGTCGTGGATGCTCTCTGCATGGCTGATTGCTTTGGCACCGGTTCTCACTCCGCAGAGAATATCAGAAGGGTGACTGACCGGAGTAGCTCCGAGATAACGTATACTGGATTAGCTGCTGTCGTGAGGAGATGGGGTGATGGCGTGCTGGGATTATCTATCGGTCGAGAGGGATGCTTGGGCTATAGTTATAATGGTCTTATATCATTAAGAAACAAAAGTCAACCTGTCTAGAAGTGTAGGCAAGTACGGATTGATTTAAATACAGTCTTGGTCTGTGCGTGTATGACTGAAGAGTATATGTAGTCGGACTCGGTGCGGCATGGTATAGAGCCGATTCTAGACAGACATGGGACTTAGAAAGAGATGCATGATCAACATATAGTCTCAAATCGGACCCCATGGCACGCAATCAATTATTGATGTACTACATCTGAACCTCAGGACTGATAGTTGATAATATGGACTGGTATCCATCACCTGCACCCTCATCTTAGCCACACAATCAAGTAGCGTTCCCACGGCCTTCACACCCCGAATGCGCTGGACACTTCTCACACTAGCTTTCTCTACTGCATCAATAACAGTTACTTGAACTCGTATACACCCTCGTATAGCCCGTACCAAAACATCGAAACTGAAGATCTTTGACGGGCGAAACCGGAAAGGTGGGGAACTCAGATGACGTCGGTGGGGAATCCCCTCATTTCGCTTGCTCTGCTGCAACTCTCGCTGCTCGCTCCCTCCATTCCTCCTTTCATTCACAACTGCAACTCTTACAGTCTGCATCTATTGACCCTATCAGTGCGTTTTCCATAAAGACTTCCTCTGATATGTTCACCAGACAGCTTCTAACCCATGCTCTGCGAAGGTCCATCTCCTCGCTGACCAGCTACCCCACAACCACCTACCATCATCCTCTCCGTACATTCCATTGCTCCACCGCCGCCATGTCGGGAGTCAACAAGGCCTGCTGCTCGTGAGTATCGCAGCTCTTCACCGGACTGCACCAACTGACAAACCAGGATCCCCCCCGTTGTCGCCAAAGGCTACCAGCCCAAGGGTGAATACAAGACCATCGGCGGCCTGAAGACCTGTCCGTACCCCGGCTTCCAAGCTCATCTCCCGCCAGCCCAGCTAATCCCCAGCAGATGTCACCGGACCCGAATCCGCCTCCAAGGCCATCCTCGTCATCTACGGTCAGTCCGGACCGTCATCATCTCTTCCCCCCGCCCCCACATCTAATCATCGGAGACAGACATCTTCGGCTTCTTCGACCAAACCCTGCAAGGCGCCGACATCCTCGCCCACTCCAGCACCCAGAAGTACCGGGTGTTCATCCCGGACTTCTTCGAAGGCCAGCCCGCCCACATCACCTGGTTCCCACCGCAGACCGACGACCACAAGCAGAAGCTGGGCCACTTCTTCCAGACCAAAGCCGCGCCGCCCAACAACCTCCCCAAGATCCCGGGGATCGTCTCCGACGCCAACCAGCTCGCCGCCTCTGGCGGAGGATTCGAGTCGTGGTCGATTCTGGGGTATTGCTGGGGCGGCAAAATCGCGACGCTGGCGACGGGCCAGGAGAACTCGATCTTCACGGCGGCGGTGCAGTGCCACCCGGCCATGCTGGACCCGGAGGACGCCAAGAAGGTGACCGTGCCGATGGCGGTGCTGGCGTCCAAGGACGAGAAGCCCGAGGACGTGGACAAGTTTGGCAAGAATCTGGGCCAACCGGGCTATGTGGAGACGTTCCCCACGCAGATCCACGGGTGGATGGCGGCGCGGTCGAATCTGGAGGATGAGGAGGTGAAGAAGGAGTACGAGCGCGGGTATAAGACGGCGCTGGGATTCTTGGAGAAGTATGCTTAATTAGTGTATTGGTCGGCATGCTGGTTCGTATTGGACTACTTTGAGGCGGAATGTTCTGGACAGAATGGCCGCAGTGTGAGGAAAAGTTCGTGTGATTGTTGAGCAATCGAGACACTTCTATTATCATCATCGAACGGTACAAGATCACATCCGTGATTCATCCACTCTTCCAAAAAGAGTATACAGCTCGAAACGTAAGCGGTCACATTCTGCCCACCCGTCGTAGTCCCCACCCCGCCACCCAGCCAACCGCCTTTCCATCCCATCTCACCGCCCACTCTATTCATTCCATCAACTCAGCTCGCTCCTCAGCTGGCAGCTCTCAGTTCGATCTTCTACTATCCTCTATCCCATCGCCAACCCCCAAACCAAGGCCAACAACCACAACTCACCCACCCATCCTATTCGACCTCCAGACCTCGTCAAGAACAAGAGCGCAGACTGGACTAAGTCCACGTCGGTGCCAGGCCGCACCACACCCACACACCGAACACCACACACACTGCCTTTCCCCAAAGGCGATCACAAAATGCCCGACTCCCCACCACCACTACCACCGTCCACTTCCCGCCGCTCCCGCTCTCGTTCCCCACCCCGTCAGCCCAAGAAAATCTCCACCGGCGGTTTCCGATGGAAGGAAAAGCGTTCCGAGCGCGGGGGGGACCGCGAGGGGGGCGGGGGCGGCGAGGACGCCCGACGGCTGGATCGGGGGTATCGCGCGCGGTCGCCGCGGCGGGACTACGATTCCCGGAATCGGCGGGATTACTCGAGTCGCGATGGACGCGATGCGAGAGATCGCGATCGTGATCGGGGGTACCGCGATCGAGAGAGGGATTATCCCCGCGACCGCGACCGCCGCGACAGCTACCAGCCCCGGGATAGGGACAGGGATAGGGACGACCGGAACCGGGATAGTTACAACCCCCGCGACCGCGACCGACCCGACAAGCCCACTTCGACCTCCACCGACGATCCCGCGAAGAAAGAGAAGAAGGAGAAGAAGAAGAAACGGCCGGCCATCCCCTCCGAGCCGATGATCCTGGTGCATGTCAATGACCGGCTGGGCACGAAGGCCACGGTGCCCTGCTTGCCCTCGGATACGGTGGGGGATCTGAAGACGCTGGTGGCGGCGCAGATTGGCCGGGCGCCGCGCGAGATTCTGCTGAAGCGGCAGGGGGAGCGGCCGTTCAAGGATTTTATCAGCTTGGGGGATTACGGGATTACGAATGGGGTGCAGTTGGATTTGGAGATTGGGACGGGGGATTAGATCCCTTCGGGGGTGTTGTTGCATGTACCTATTATGTCGGTTCTCGGTGGTGGACAGACAGGCTAGAGGATAATCTGATGTGCTTCGGGGGTCAGGATCGCCTGCATGTCGCCCTTGCGGAGATCTTCCAGCTTGTCCTGTAACTGTAGCTGACCCTGTGCCTGCCGCCACTCCCCCAACCACCCGCCGACGAACCCGATCACCTCGCCTTGGACCTCGCGCACGCCCTTGGGAGGCACCACCCTCTTCCCCTCCCAGTGCTCCTCCGCCCCAAAGACCCCATTCTGATCCCAGTGATGCACCCCGCCCTCCATCCCATCGTACACCTCCTCCGCCGGCACGCGAATCAAAACCATCGGCTCCTCCGTCGAAGAATTCCGAACCGGCAACCCCGTCGCGAAGGGGGTCGCCTCCTTCCAGGGATCCGCCAACCCGCCAATATGCGCGACCCGGGGATACGAGAACTCGAACCCGCCGTACTGATTGATGCGCTCCGTGTCCGGCGGGCTGGTGATCCCGTAGGTGGCATTGCACATGTCGACCCAGAAGCCGGGGGTGAGGAGACGCGAGACGAGCGGCTGGATGTGCGAGGGGACGGTCGAGCCCGGCATGAAATAGCCCCATTCCGTGCAGACCTGGTAGTTCCAGCTGGTCGAGGCCGTGCGGGGGAGGCGTTTGTCGTCGCCTGCTCCGTCGTCCTCACCTCCCCCCTCCCCAGCGAGAACCCCAGAGCCCTCATCAGAAGAAGAAGAGAACACCCCCTCCCGCCGCACAAACCCCACCCAATTCACGATCCCCGTCACCCACGCCTCCCCCTCCTTCCCGTTGTCATCAACCACCAGCCCCCTCACCTTCCCCCCGACCTCCTCTTCCAGCTCCGTGTCCAACACAGTAGGGGCCGTAATATTCCCACAAAACCAACTAAACCCGAGATCCCCCACCTCGGGCTCCCAGTTCCGCTCCTGCCACAGCCCCAAGGGTTCCGCCAACCCGGCCACGAAGTGCTGGTCGGTCAAGTTGGGCGCATTGCCCCCGAACACCTCCTTCAGCACCGTTGCACGATCCGTATGACTGTGTGAACCCTGGGATGCGAGAAGCACCCGATCCACCCACGCGATCAGCGCCTGCTGCGCCGCCACACAGCGCCGCGGACCGTGCACGCGGATCGGCTCGTAGTACTGCCAGTAATCCTCGACGGCGGCGGTGACGCCGGAGCTGGAGATGGCGGCCCAGAACGTTTCCGGGTAGGATTGGCGGAGGAAGGCGACGAAGGCGCCGGCGTAGGAGCCGCCGTAGGCGATCCAGGGGGTTGTCTTGGGGGAGAGGTCCGGGGTTTCTGGGGTGGTGGTTGTTGTTGTTGTTGTTGTTGTTGTTGTTGTTGATGATGATATGATCGGAGGGAGGTGGGTGGCGAGGTAGGCGTAGTCGGCGAGGGCTTGTTCGGTGGTGAGGTAGGTGAGGGTGGAGAGGGGGATTGTTTCGTCGTGGTTCTGGGAGGTGGAAGAAGACGAGGAGGAGGAGGAGGAGGAGGAGGAGGTGTTGGGGCTGGCAGGGTAGCTCGTCCCGTAGTACCGGTGCTCGACGATCAGGGCAACCCCCTGGTAGATGCGCGCGAGTTCGTGGACGATTCCCTGCGACAGGAAGGGGAGGCGGTTCAGCGCCGAGGTCTCGCCGCCGGCGATCACGAAGACCGGGCCCCCCGGTTGGTAGTGTGTGGTGTCGAGGATGTAGCGCAGCGGGAAGGTGAGGTTCGTGGGTGGGTAGCGTGGGGAGGTGGGGAAGTGGTTCAGTGGGGTGGTGAGGTTGTGGATTGGGAATTGTGATTGTTCCTGGGCCGTCGGCGTGTATTCTTGGTTGAGGAGGCGGGCGTGGTTCATCCCGCCTAGGGCGAGGGTGGTGGTGGTGTAGTATAACAGCAGGAAGAGGTTCATTGTTGTAGTAGTTGTTGTTGTGGTGGTGGTGGTGGTGGTGATGGTGGGAGGGGAAGAGATAGGAACAGGGAGGGTTTCGTGCGGGGAAATGGGTTTATATGTGAGCAACTGACTTGCTGCTAATCTGCTAATCTCCTAATCTCCTCATCTCCTTGCTTGGTCCGATTGTCTCCGAGTGGAGACGGAGGCTGGAATGTTACAGGTGGTGTTGCAGAGAGGTTCACTTCCACCCAAATGTTCAGTTCTCTTGGCTTGTTACACGGCTATATTTATCGATAACCGCCTAGGCAGTTACTTACTTACACATTAACTTAGTTCTAGAGATACTAGCACCAGCAACTCACTACTCGCGCTACAACTCCACGCGAGGCCCCGTGAAGTTCTTCCGGCCGTCCACCACCCACTGGATAAGGGAGATAATCAAAATAATCCCAAATGCAACGACGCAATAATCTACTCCGGTCAGCGGCTACCAATATACTCTGCATTCATCAGCCAGGGAACTTACTCATGTTACTGCCCGTCACGGGCCGGTCCGGGGGAAACACGAACAACACTGTGGTCAGTGCGATATACGAGAGGGAGATCTGGCCCGTCAGCATAGAACATCCCCCGAATAGCAACCCACTCACCATGTCAATCACCCAGCCAATCTGGTTGGGGATCTTCCATTTGCGATCGGGCAGTGTCCGTCGTCCACGCAGGCAGTTCACCGCGATCGGCATCGCGTACGAGAGATCCAGGAGTACGACCGACGCCGACACGATGGCGTTAAACGCCCTACACCAGTCAGCGCAGCGCAGTTGATCAGACGAAAAGACCTACGAGCTCGATCCAAGATAGATACAGCCGAAGATAATCACCACGACAGTGGTGAGGATCAACGCGTTTAGAGGTAGTCCGAGTCGGGGATGCACCCGTGCGAAGAACTTGGACGCCGGCAGTCCGCCGTCTCTGCGCGTTTCGTCAGCTGCGTTCTTCACTGATGGGAGACAAACTACCTACCGTGCAAAAGCAAAGATCATGCGACTGCTGGTTGTCATCACGCTCAACGTCGCGAACAGCAGGCAGACCAGAGGAAGCCTGCGCCAGATCCGTTAGCAACACTGTTGGCGGCCAAGGGCAGCACAGCACATACATGAGGAGGCAGATGGCACCGGCGCGGTTGTTGGTCGCATGGATGAAGATCTGCAGCAGGGGGCCAGCGCTCGAGTTGACCACCTCGTCGATGTCGCCGGCCACGAATAGCAGCACGATGAGGAAGATCGCTCCGGTGAAGGTGCCGATCCCTACGCAGACGACCATGATCTTGGGGCCTTTGATGGACGGTTGCGGGATTTCTGGACGGTCAGTCGGCGCCTAGAAGCTGGAGGAGGGCGCTTTCACCTTCAATCATGTGGCAGACCGCGTCCTGGATGCATTAGCGTGGATTGATCGACAGCCGATCGGGGACTCACAAACGCGGTCACTCCGAGTCCACCTTGCAACAGCTGGGTCGGTTAGCTACATCGTCACAGATCAAAGGTTGCACCTACCCCCAACAGCCAAGCCACACCATCGGGCCCTAATCATGTTAGCGATGCTCGTAAACATCCAAGACTCAAACTTACAGCCGGTCTGGTTGATGAAGTTGGTAAACACAAATCTGCAGCAGTCAGTAAGCTAGTCAGAAATGCAGCAACACCACTTACGAGGCCGAATTATAGTCCGGCGAGGCGCAAGCCAGCACGGTAATCGACACCAGCACGAACCCGCCAATCGACCAGGTGACTTATTTCCATTAGTTCACGCTCATCAACCGTCAGATTAATCCAGGCAAACGTACAAGCACCACGATAGATGATCGGAAGCACCGAGTTCATGAACCCGTTGACCACAAATGCCAACACTGTATAGGCGATGTACATGAGGAAGTACTGCCATCGCTGCCAGGCGAAATCCTATGAACGCTAGTCAGCAGTCGCTAACCCCTTTGAAGGGTTGAAAGGCATACAGGGTAAACCGAGGACACGATCCCAGCGATAAGCTGACAGGAAAGCAAGGCATTGGTGGCCACCAGCGCAACCTGAACTGTTAGCCTCGCACACACGACCGTAGGATTGCTGCATCTCACCCATCCAGCCACATTGACCCAGCCAGTCACCCAGGATAGAATCGGCACCCAATTCGGCCAGGAAACTGGTAGTTCGGTGAGAAACGCGCGACAAGCAGGCCACTAGCACCGAAGAATACATACTAGCTGCACCGTTGTTAGTCAAACAGAGTTTCTGAAGCTGCACGCAAAAAGGGAGGAAAGTAAACGCACCAGCCACCCAATGATACTGCCCGCCCGCCGTAGGATACGCCGATAGGAATTCCGCCAGCGACACGGCGATGCACAGGTTACATGCTCCGGCCGTCACCAGACCTGGTCGTGTTGCTGTGAGCACAAACTGCGTAGATCAACCCGACAACGGTCCACTCCGGAAAGGAGCCAGACGGCCAGACAATACTCACCCCAGACAACACTAACGCTTCCCCCGGACGGTAGACTGAGCGATAAACTGGCCGAGAGCGCCGTCCACGACTACCCTCGATAATTAGTTCTTCCTTTCTTTTGGCATCTGGCTTCCCTCCGACAGCATGGATACATACATTCAGCACCGCGAACGCTAAACCCAGCATCGACCTGATTTACCCTATACAATTAGCACTGCCATTGCCTTGTGATGTGGTTCACTCCGGAAATTCGGGGTTGAGCGCACAGGGTAGAAAAGTTCCGATTCAGCTCGGCCTTATGCCCCATCTGGGCCAGCTGGACGTCATCATCCTCATTCTCGAGGGGCGGTTGCTTCTTCTCGTCCACGTCCATCATTGCTGTTGTCATGATTCCGATCAGAAATTATCATGAATTGACACCAGCAAAAAAACCCGATGAGAAACTCAAAGGCGCATGCAAGGCGGGGGGAGACAAGTAAACTTAAATCGCCGAGAGGAGGGGAAGAAGGTGAGTAGTAATCGGCGATTGACGCGCATCGAAGTCTAAGGATGCATGCGGTATGTCCACCCAGGGTTGCGGGGAAGCTTAATTTACTTTGGCGGGCCGGGATAAGATGACACAAGACGGTACGCTAGTGAGATAGAGGATCACTTCTGATAAATCGGTTGGTGCATTCACTTATCTCCTTATATATGATTCTCTCCTGCATGGGGAGACAATGTACGCGGTAGTCATCAGGACGATAGCTAATTGACATACTGGGGCCACTGCAAAGCCCGCCGCAGGCAGAATTCCATCGCATGCGGGCTTATCGGTCCAATCAGCCGGTGGGATGCCGTTCCCCGCCTGGACATGCCCGATTAGGGGATCCTTTCATCTTCAACAATCTATCGAGGTCGGTGGTTATCTGCGGGTGATTCCTCTGAGGCCTTCGGTGATAAGATATTTGACCATCAAGGCCGAATAATTAGTCATTTAACTATTTATCTGCTGCAGTCAGGGGGCAGGTTGTTGCTGCTCATGCAGCCCTAATCCCGGATTCTTGTCCCCGGGCTGTGGGTCGCTCGCAGCTTGAACCGGCGATAAGATAAGTGGAATAGCTTGGGTTCTGTAGTATGGTAGTATGTTGGCGACTAGGTATAGAGTAGACGACCTCGCCGTTCGCCGTCCTGATCAATGTTCGGCGCAGCTTGGTATAAGCCCTGCTTGCAACCTTTTCACATAATGATCAATGTCTTGGGGATAGAACCAGTACTTTTCTGAACCTCGAATGCTTTGAGACCTCTTCAAATGAGCCTTGCATCTCACGTGATGCCGCGGCCAGCTCCACCCCCAGCCATCTTATTCCACAGTTCATGAATGTTGTTGAATATCTGCAAAACTGGAGTAGAACACCTTCAACCCCTTAATCCCATGCGTTGAAGGTTGAAGTCGATCTGATAGCCGTCAAGCATAAGGACTGACTTTCGAAATGATGGGACTTACCTAGTAGGCTCTCATCACTGACTGTTTCACCTGCTCACTTGACGGACATCCATCAGCAGATGATTGGGCGCATAAACCATTAACCCCAATTCATCGGACAAATCACTCGTCCATCATGCCGACTACAAACACACGTGGCAGAGACTCACGGCGACCAAGTGGTCTTCAATCGTTGGAAGACTCCGCTTATTCTCAACTCACCTGGAGCGCTCTAATAGCGTTGGGCTACTGCGCGACCAAGCTCCCAGATCAATGCATGCAGATCCGGATTCTCCTAAATCAAACCCCATCCATCCCGCCCACCGCAGAGACCCCTGATTCTGTGGGAGGAAATGTGCTTGTCTTGCAAGGCTATTCCAAGTGGTCTGCATCTCCGGTTTCTCGACCGTTCGACCGATGAATACTGAATGCGAGCTAGATGCAACAAAGACTTCCGGTCCTCGAAGTGCGCACGTTGGGGTGTCGCGGCCAAGCACATGCGTACTGTCTGATGAATACATTCCGGAATGGCATGGCTTCCGGTGTTCACCGCAGTCCCCTGGTAATCACCTTGCATTGTTGGTTTTAGGCTGGTCGTATGTCTTCTCTGCTCGGCTGGTGGAGCTGCGGCGCACGACGTCCGAGGAAGAGGTTTTATACACAGATCACGTGGTATGGTGGTCCACGGGCGACGATTCCAACCCGAACGAGCATTGCAGTCTACATCTTGGCGACCTGCCACCGGCCTAATTGCGCTTGGGGGGGCGGGGCGCCATCTTGGAAGATGGACGTGGATGGCGCGCGACGCTGAGTCGAGATGGCAACGAGTATTGCCCTCCGTGGGCGTGCCATCTTGCCTCTAGCTACTTTATGTTGCATTCCTAAGTGGACCTCTCAAGCCTCATACCTCAAAACCTGAAGCCACCGTCATCAGCTGAAGCGCAAGCCTACCTTCTCATGTTCGATTTGGCGTGCCGATTGTCTTGCCTAGACCTGCTCAAGGTACTATCTCCCGCCTTGCTCAGATCCAGAACCAGAAGCAGAACATGCTTGTAACGAACTACCGACCCCAGATAAACTCTCTCACTTCATGGCCTTTTCATGCATCCCCAATATTGTATCATCCTCCTTATCCGGTTGTTTCTGGGAACCAAGTATTCCATGCAATCAAGCGAGCGAATGGCTCAACCCGCCACTCAAGGAGCTGCTGCCACCCCTGCTCCAACAAAAGAGATACGAAATCATCCTATGCACGCTAGCGCACCGCAGACCTATGCTTGCGTCTCTGTGGCTGGGGGTCACGATCGGGCTATCACTGCTGGAAGGAAATGTGACGAGGTTTGGCCGGCGGAGAACCGGCGCGTGTACAAGGTATCTCGTTGGTTTGTCTGTTATAGGTGCTCAAGGTCACCTGGCACTGGAGATTCGAAAGACTTCCAGATGGGGAATGAGGGGCTGATACGCCTTGCCTTTCACCCAATCTAAGCAATATCCTAACCTGCCCCTGTGAAACAGGCTGCCTTGTCTGCAAGGACTCGATGGACACTTGATATTCTTGTCTTGTCTTCAGATGGTAGAAGAGGATTCTTGAACCCAGTATAGCTGAGATCCGGAGCGTAGAAGCCAGAGTCCCAGCTCCAGTTCAATGTACCATCATAGACCTTTATACCTTACATGCTAGGATGAGTGATGTTGCTCGCCTTGTGATGATGATGGCTTTCCCGCGCCTTCCCCCGTTACTCCGGCCGCCCAGGCCCCGGTCGAGCTAAACGGGCTGATGTTCCCCCCAACAAAAGACGAGCAGATTGTTAATACGGCACTTTTGATATTCTTGAATGCATTTACGATTCACTTTGATGAGTGTCAAGCTTGCAATTGGACTATTCACCGTAAAAGGTTTATAGCACGGTTCGCCAATGCCAGCTTTGAAGCTCGGACAGATGGATATCTGGATGATGGCCAGGAAAATGCTTATGCACTCATTGAAGTCAACCCCATCGTTCGGTCAAAGACACAAGACCTTATTCGAATGCAGGACAGTGCCCAAATGGTTGGATGGCTGATGAATGACGATGAGAAGAACGATACCGGCAAGTTGTGAGTCTATCCTAGATTCGGATGGGCATCAATGAGGTTGATAACCATTCACAGGCATGTCCATATCTCACAAAATCGGCACGAGATTTTCATAACATTTGTCGAATACGATGCAAGATATCTCGCGTATCTGAAGAATCCGCCAGTTAAGAACGAGGTATCGAAACCTGGAAATTCACAGAGCAAACCGTCTGCGAGTCAAGCGCCTGAGACCGGTGTGCCATCCTTCCTGACCATGCATCAATATGGCCCTTGGGATACTCAACAGCGGTCCCACATGAAGAACTTGGGCCCCATCCTTCTTGCCATCGCCCTTTATGCTGAAGGCGAGGTCCGAGCAAGACCGAGGTCGCAACGCGGTTAACGCACAACCTCCGGCAATCCTACGGGCGCGAATGTTCGCACCACTCAGGTTTTGCATATTTTACTGCATCTCTCTGTTGTTGAGATCTGTTTCCGTGGTGTGCTTCCGATGGCTATAGCCCATAGATCGCAGCATCTGCAAACTCGGCATTTTGTGTATTGTATGCATTTTTTGCCACACTTCGATCTTGTCATACTTGATTGGCGTAATCTTTGCTCGCGGGAGCAACGATCAGACAGATCGCGCGTGGTTGGAACCCGTAGCCTCAACGGTCATGCTAACGGTTGAATGGCTCTGGCTTTACTCTGCAATTGAATGATCTCAGCTTTATCAGCGATCATGACTTGCTGGTTGTCGGACACTACCGTTTTGATTTCTCACCCATATGTGTTTAGTCTCAGCTGCGACAAATGATAGAGAAGAAACATCAGTTCAAGGCCTCTGGGTAGTGGCCTTTAGCAGTCTTACATCTCTACATACCGTAGTATACTACAATGCCCGAATGCGCTGGATGATGGTCAGAAATGTTACCTTCGATCAAGAGGTTGGGACAAGAATGAGCTTAACAATAAAGACGAGACGATGGCCCGTCAATTTTATATGAGATGAAGTTTGTTCAAGGAAAAGCGTGCATCACACACTCCACAAGGTTAGAGCACCTCCCCCTAAGAGACCTGATGCGTTCAGACGGTTGGAAATGCTCAATTCTTGTTTCCTCGATGCTGTGCGTGTGTATGATGAGCTGGGAACGCATCAGCGAACGATATACTCACAAAGCATATCCTCAAAGTACCAAGATAGAGGCACCTCCTCGACACGAGTGAAATGATAGCATACCTAACCATTCTCATTGTTCTGGTAGTACCCGAGACGCCTGACAAACCTGGCATGGTAGGCGTCGGCCTGCTCTTCGGGCCAGTCCACCGTGGTTTCAGTGCTGCCGCAATGACAGCGCAGCCGGTAGTGGCCCGGGGCCAGCGGCGGCGCAGTGGGCGGGAGGTCCTCTGGCCTCCAGAATTGGACGAGATGATGGTCATCTAAAAAGAAGAAGACCTTCTTTGACCTGCTGCAAATCTATAGAGTCCCATTTTGCTCACAGAGGTCTGTCTGGACTCTCCATGAGTGTGATGGACTTATTGGGCCGGGCTGCGGCTCAACCTGGTCAACGAGGTCCTCTGTGGTGGGAGACATGATTGCGGGTCGGGAATTCGATCTGCGAAGTGGAGAGGATGTGTTGGTGTTGGGACTTCTGTATGGGCCTGGGTCGGGCCAGGGTCGATTATGCTGGAAATCGTACTAATATCTATAGGTCCTGAGAAAGGAACTGCAAAGGCAGCTTGGTAAGAATTGCGGAATTCCCATAAGTCTCCATAAGATCCTTTGTCTTATACTGATTACTTCCAGTATGTTCATGATTCCCTTTGTAGGGCACAGAAAGACAAATAGGCAAGAGTAGAGAGCTAGGACAGACACGTAGCGAATGAGACGATGATATGCGCTCCCCCGGGCCAAACAAGCGAGGACTTTGATTGCTCGTGAATCTGACCTCGGAACAACGATGCCAGTGAGTGCTCAAGACATAGGCATTGGGCTTCCTTCACTTGTTGCTTATGGTAAAAGAGGAGAAGTGACAAGAAAGCCTCACCGCTCGACCAAAAGGAATGTCTGGCATTCATCTAGCGGACGGTTTTCGATGCCGAAACAAGATCATCAGGAGTTCATTGCCGAGCACCTTCAGAGGCCGTCCATCCAGACATGCTAGGTATACTGTAACACTCAAGGGGGATCAGTGAGGGTCGCCCTCTTCACACTTAGTAAAGTATAGTGCGGAGCAATCCAACCCACCATTTGGCTGAGACAAGAAGGCATAGAAAGAATAATCCCTATTGCGACGAAATAAGGTCCACGGTATTGTAGGCTCTTTCTTTCTTCGAAGTAGCCTATAAACTGATCTAGAAACTGATACCACTGCAAGGCACTACAAGAGCCCCATGTTTATGAAACAGAGTCTGTTAGAGATTTCTGTGAAATCATCAAGACGCCGCCTATGTCTTTGTTGACTAAGTTGCGGTGCTGAAGTGGTTTTAGAAACTGTATGTTGACCCTCAGTGGCTCGCAAGTGTAAATCCAAAACCTGAAAGATATCGACTCTTAGAATTGGCATGGCATTCTCGGATAAGAAATAGTGGTAAAAAGGGAAAAGAAAGGTCAATTGAAAAGGACAAAGGAAGTCGTCTGTTTAGATACTCTATAAAAACAAGATCAAGCAGTCACGCATATCACGGTAGCATCAAGTGGCAAAGTTCCCACCTCGCAGAACGAGATGTCTCGAATGGATGGGAATGCCGACTTTTTATCTGACTGATGCGCAGGGCAATGGGTCTTACGCCGAGATGTACTGAACGAACGTGATATCATAACAGTCCGCCAGACGCATTCCCTCGCCCACGCGTGCGAGCTTGGCCTGTCTATCGCCGTAGAATGTCCCCATGGGGGTGAATTGGAGACCCCCCTTCCAGTAGTAGCCGACATCCTTGGCAAACTTGACGAAATAGGCCCCAGTCTGCTCCTCTGGCCAGTCCACCGTGGTTTGGGTGTCGCCGCATTTGAAACGCAGCCGGTAGTGGCCCGGGGCCAGTGGCGGGGCGGCGGGGTGGCCCAAGAGCTTGGAGCATGTATCTCGCACTTTCCGTAGAGGCGAGCGCTTGAGGTCCTCCGGCCTCCAGATCTGCACAAGGTGATGGTCATCTGTGAACAAAGATGTTTCCTCTTGCTTCCCGGCGAATCTGTAGATCTCCTCCAAGGTCAGCTTCTCTCTGGGCGCACCGTGAGTGTGCTCCCCTTCCCCAAAGAGGCGGACTTCCGTCGGAGTGGATTGCGACGACGGCTGCTGCGGCTTCTCAGTACTGTCAGGCATTTTCACAGGTTAGAATCTGTTTACGACAGAGTTGATGCTTTAGTATAAGAGTTGGTCCTCTACCAGGTGTTTGAGTCAGTTGACGAACATAGGCTCAACAGGTAGAACACTATTTATACTTCCTAAGAGACAGTCTGAGAAGGCAGCTTAATTTAATCATGGTTTCTTTCTTTCAGTAGACTCGTTATAATAAATAACAATCTGCGTCCAAATGAATACCTCCGTCAGAGACAAACAGACAAAAGCTCACAGTATAAAGCCAAGTCAAAGCTTTGGACGACGAGGTCTTAGACTCTTCTCCGCCATCTTAAACATGACCAAGGGCCTCTGCCGTAAGTAGAAGTAAGACAATGATGCCATTGAGTACTATTGTGGACAAGGGCATTGTCTACCTACTATGGACTCTTTGAGCACTTCAGGTGGTGGCTAATAGAAACATAGAAATGTACAACAATGAAGGCTTAGCGGGATAACATCAGTACTATGCTCACACCTGGACCTGGGATCTAAGTTATATTTTCTTTTTTCTGCTTTTTTCTAATCTTTGAGTTTCAAAAATATATACTAGGTCTGCTAGAAGGGACTAGGTGCTGCAGCCAGTAGAAAGGATAAAAAACTAAATCCTTCATCTTTAAAGAAATTCCAAATTTAATAAAAACTATTAATTGTTTGTTAAAAAAGATTTCTCAAAGCTATCTTTATATACAGACTAAGTATAATGTAATATGTAAGAGAATTCAGTGAGGGTTGACCCCTTGACAATAAGTAAAGCACCGTGTAGAGTGATTGCTGTTGCTACAGAATAAGATACGATAGGCTCTTTTTTTTAGAGTATCCAGTTATTTGATCTAAAAACTCCTACCACAAATCCCTGCAAAAGTCCCGTGTTTATAAAGCAGGGTCCGTTAAAAATTACTGTAAAAGTATTAAGATCTTTAATCCTCCTATATTTTTGATCAATAAGTTCCAATGCTGAACTATCTCCAGAGAAACTGCATATAAACTATCAGTGGGCTTGCAAGTGTAAACCAAAAGCCTTTAAAAATACTGACTAATCTTAGGATTGGGTTGGCATTGTTGAATAAGAGACAGTGAAGAAGCTTAAGAGAGAAAAGGTTTACTTAGAAAGACAAGGAAAATCGCCTGGTTAAATTCTTTATGAAAACTGAAAGATCAAGCAGAAGCACATATTACGGTTGCCTTAAGTGAGTAGAGTTCCAATTTAAAGAACAAGATGCCTTGAATGGATGGAAGCCCTACTTCACTTCTCATCTGCCTGACGCGCGGGACAGTGGGCCTCGAAAAGGCGCGACGAGAAACATGAACGCATCCTCACCAAAATAGAACGATAGAGGCTTCTCCTTTCTTGCGTTACAGATATTAGACGACTGTCGGACGCGATAGCCGCAAGTCAGCCTCCAGTAGCAGCCGACCCGCCTGGCGAACTTGGCATGGTAGGCATTGGCCTGCTCCTCAGGCATGTCCCCCGTGGTTTCGGTATCGCCGCACTAGAAGCACAGCCGATAGTGTCCCGGAGCCAGCGGCGGAGTGGTGGGGAGGGGGGGGGGCGGCCCAAGAGCTGCGAGCAATGGGGTGCTTGACCCTAGCGAGATCCTCTGGCCTTGAAATCTGGACAAGGTGATGGCCGTCGGTGAAGAAAACTACCTCCGTTTGCCCCTTAGCGAGTTGGTGGAGTAGGTCAAGACTTGGGTGGTCCAGGTCCTCTATGGGCGCACCATGAGTGTGTTCCTCTTTACCAAAAAGTTGGACTTCGGTTATGCTGAGCTTCCGCTTCTCCTGCTGTTGCTCAGTATAGGCAACCTGTTTCTCAGTGCTGCCAGACATTTTTGCTGGTTGGAATTTGTTTGAGACAGGGGCCAGTGTTGTAGTATGAAAGTCGGATCTCTACTCTGTGCTTGAGTCGGTTTGATGAACATAAGTTTGATGGATAGCAGGCTGTTGAAATGACTCCCACCCGGGGTGGGGGTAGTCTGAGAGGGTAACTTCAGTTGACCATAGTGGCATAGTGGTTGTCTTCAGTACAGCTCTTTGTGATGCGTGAGGAACGGACTGAAGACCTCCATCAGACTCCATTCAAGAAGGTAGCTTAAGTCGGCCATAATGGCTCTCTTCAGTATAACTCTTTGTTCTAGTAAGGACAGTCTGCTTCCCAAACAAACCTCCCTCAGACACAAGTCAAGGCTTTGGGAAGCGAGGTCTTCTCCGCCATATCAACCGTAACCAGGCAACTTGTGCTAAAAGTAAACCGATAAAGCAATTGAGTACTTTTGTAGACAAGAAGATTGTCATTGACAATTCTTTCCCCGGTTACTGCGCATAGAAAATAGAAGCGTAGAGCGTAGAAACAATGTAGGCTTGGCGGGATGACGTCGGTGCGGGACTAATGCCTGAATACTTGAGGCACTAAGGCTTCAATCAAGGCTTCCCGTTTTCTCCTCCCATCACCATCACCATCACCACAGAGTCGTCGTTTTCGTTTCTGCATCTTTTCACAATCCTGGCTGCAGTCATGTACGACTGCGACCTTCCTCGTTGGTCCAAAGATGAGACTCCCCAAATTTCAGCATCCGGTGCATCGTGTACCCTCATCTTAACCTTTCTTCAGCTGGAGGAAGGCGGGCCCCGGCGGGATCCCCCCCTTTCGTCCCATTCTCTCTTCATGCTTAGCATGCTTGGTCTCGCAAAGCCAATTCTTCATCATCCTTCGTACCGCACATGCAGAAGGGACATGCCGTCTAGTTCAGGTCCCAGTCCGGGGCCCCGCACCCCAATGAGGCATAGCAGCCTCAGTCCGGCGCTAAACAACCGGTTTGTGTCGGGCAATTGTCGCCTGCTGAAGAAAAATGGGAAAAACCCCGGCGGCACAAGGCCCTCGGTTAGCCCTAGCCCCCCTAGCCCGCGATATCTTCACGATGCTGCCTGCCATCCATGCGGGGTACCTGCGACTCGCCTCCAATGACTCCGTCGGGATGGAGTTGTCGTTCTGCAGCGTCGCATGATCCGCTCCTAACATTTGCGCATCAGAGGTGGAACATAATGTTCCGTCCAAGTGGCTTAATTGAGTGTCCCTGCCACCGTGACGCATTGGGATGATGATGGCCAGGAATCTGCAAGGGGCGGGGGGTGGTATAAAATCCTTTCCTGTTCCTGGTTTCCTTCCAGGGGCCGCTCAAGCATCTCCCACAGTCTCTCCACATACCGTCCTCCAAGATGCCTTCACGACGAACCCTCCTCGGGCTGGCGGCCACGAGCACCTTGGTCAGCGCCGGACCCTGCGACATCTATGCCTCCGGTGGGGCGCCCTGTATCGCTGCGCACAGCACCACTCGTGCTTTGTACAGCGCCTATTCCGGCCCTCTTTACCAGGTCATCCGTGGCTCTGACAGTGCCACCACTGACATCAAGCCCCTCACGGCTGGTGGGGTTGCGAATGCCGCCGCCCAGGACACCTTCTGCTCTGGCACGACTTGCCTGATTTCTATTATCTACGACCAGTCCGGTAGTGGCAACGATCTCACCCAGGCGCCTCCTGGTGGCTTCGATGGGCCCGAGTCCAACGGCTACGACAATCTGGCCAGCGCGATCGGCGCCCCTGTCACCTTGAACGGACAGAAGGCGTACGGTGTGTTCGTCTCGCCCGGCACCGGCTACCGCAACAACGACGCCAACGGCACTGCCACCGGCGACGAGGCGGAGGGCATGTACGCCGTCCTGGACGGCACCCACTACAACGATGCCTGCTGCTTCGACTACGGCAACGCCGAGGTCAGCAGCACCGACACGGGCAACGGTCACATGGAGGCCATTTACTATGGCACCAGCAAGACCTGGGGCTATGGTTCGGGCAGTGGCCCGTGGGTCATGGCCGATCTCGAGAACAACCTGTTCTCCGGGCAGGCGGAGGGCCTCAACTCGGCGGACCCGTCCATCTCCTACCGGTTCGTGACGGCCGCCGTCAAGGGCGAGCCCAACCAGTGGGCCATCCGCGGTGGCAACGCGGCCTCCGGCTCGCTGACGAGCTACTACAGCGGCGCGCGCCCCACGGTGAGCGGCTACAACCCGATGAGCAAGGAGGGCGCCATCATCCTGGGCATCGGCGGCGACAACAGCAACGGCGCCCAGGGCACCTTCTACGAGGGGGTGATGACCTCGGGGTACCCGTCGGACGCGACGGAGAACTCGGTGCAGGCCAACATCGTGGCGGCTAAGTACGCGACGACCTCGCTGACGAGCGGCTCGGCGCTGACGGCGGGCTCGTCGATCTCGCTGCGCGTCACCACCACGGGGTACACAACGCGCTACCTGGCCCACAACACCACCAACATCATCACCTCGGTCGTCTCCTCGTCCAGCTCTTCCACGCTGCAGAAGCAGGCCAGCTGGACCGTCGTCACGGGGCTGGCCAACTCCGGCTGCTTCTCCTTCGAGTCCGTCGACACCCCCGGCAGCTACATCCGCCACTACAACTTCGAGCTGCTGCTCGCCGCCAGCGACGGCACCAAGCAGTTCAAAGAGGACGCCACCTTCTGCCCGGAGTCCGGCCTCAGCGGCTCCGGTACCTCCATCCGCTCCTGGAACTACCCCACCCGCTGGTTCCGCCACTACAACAACGTGCTCTACGTCGCCAGCAACGGTGGCGTGCACACTTTCGACTCCCAGACCTCGTTCACGGCTGATGTGACCTGGTCGATCAGCTCGGGCTTTGCGTCCGCGTAGATCGAGGTCCGGCGCTTGGGGACATGACGGGTCGGGAGATGTTTGATGATTATGCTTGATGCCAATGTGGAATAGTTTATGGTTTTCGAGGTGAAGCCTTGTAAATACGTTGTTATCATCATTACCGTACAAATTTAGTATGACTTTGAACTACCCACGGTCTTTAAGTCTTCAACTCAGATTCTTGTAGAATCTGATGTTCATGTAGGTTGTTGTAGCTTTCAGAGTGGTGCATGGAATATATAGTGAAGCCTTGTCGAGACGATTCCACTCCAGGCGTACATGCAAACTCTACAGAACCGACAGAGAACCTTGATAGGGACATGTAGTAGCCCGTAATAGATAGAGACACACGACCATCAAGCGACCCACCTGCCAAGTCACTCTGTCTGTGCATCGCAAGATGGCCAGGGGATATGACGTCATTATGCATGATTTTCGTGCCAAGTTTTCATCCACAGGTCAGTCGTCGACATAGCGCCGGAGAATCACACTCCGAAGCGCATATTCATGGTTCTGAGCCTGGTTGATCGATCGAGCGGGTCTCTGGATCGATGGTCCAGGGTGGAGGAAGTGGGATGGGTGGATGAAGCAGAGAAAGTTCATGCCATGGCCGCCTTTGTGGTTGCTTTCTGCCGGCAGAATGATTGTCTGCCGACCGCCTAAGTGTATCCCCATCATCTGCGTTGTCGACATCATTCATCGTCGCAATGTATCCTGGGAATCGAATCTACTATCTGCTGAGCCACCTGTGTCTTTCCGACAGCTATCCTCTTCTGAAGACCTTTTATATGGCGGAGGTTTTACGCCATATCAAAGTGTTTAACATGCCGATAAGCATCATCGCGAAAGTCGCGACAGACAACGGATGAAATGAACATATGGCACGCTGATCACAACAACGATAGCCATAGAGTGCCAAAATGACCGGCCCGTGCTATCTCAGTTGTGAAGCCCAGCTGGTTGCTCGCGAAGGCTGAACGTCGAATCTGATCTCAGGATTCCGCCTCCTCTCGCCAGGATGCTAGCTTTGGGGCCGCCCCCAACAGTGCAACACCAGAAGCCGTCCCGATTTGCCCCTGGCGACCATCCGAATCCCATCGATCTTGCGCCTCGATATGTGTGGTCCGTCAAGTCTCGTGCCTGGCAGCGAGAGTCCTCTCACGTCGACTTACGCAGGAACAGCGAACCGGCTGCCGCGTGCCCTGCCTTTCGGCCCCATGCGACGCAGGAACCAGACTCAACTGCTCAGGGGAACTTCTTGAGAATGAAAGTTCTTCTCATTCCTCATTCTCCTTGCAAAATCTTTGCCAGTTTCATGTCTTCATGCCTGTACGGGCTGTCAGTCGTTCATTCTCTCACTACATTGACATTCGTTGAAACCCGATTCTCGCGAGTCACTCATTCCCTCGCGTGAGCCAGCCATTCTTTGCTTCCAGTCTGTCCTTACCACTCCCCCCCAAAAGGCACAATGGCAAGCAAGCTTGCACACACTCTTTTCACCATCGCGAGCGTGGGACTCCTCGCCTCCGCCCAGCTCGCCGTGGACACCACGCCCGTGACGGCCGCCGCCTCCGTCGAGACGGTCTCCATGATCGACGCCTCAGGCCTGCCCATCACGACCGTCTCCGACGCCGCCGACAACGCCTGGTACATCCCACTGACGGGGCCCGCCAGCGCCGCGACCGCCGCCTGGGGCGCGAGCGCGCACATCCACAGCGACGCCGCCGCGCTGCTGCCCATCACCTTCGGCACGGCACCCACCAGCACCCCCACCGTCCACAAAACCAGAAGCCTCTCCCAGGAAACCAGTGCCTTACCCACGGCAACCGTCTCCCCGATCGGCAGCCCCTCCGGCGACGAATCGACGACCTCCTCCCTCGAACTCGCCCTCAACCCCGAATCCAACGCCCTCCTCCTCGGCGCCGACACCACCCTCACCATCTCGACCACGGTGATCGCGACAGCCGAGAACCCCACGAACATCAGCACGACGAACCTGACCACCCTACCGGTTGGCATGAACCTAGGGTTCGGGACACAATGGCCCGGCGCCCTCGTCTTCGGCGGCAACTACGACGCGAATCGCATCTGGAACGAATCGCACTGGCAGACGACGCCGGAGACGAGCGCGGGCAATTCAACATTCACCCGAACCGGCACGCAGCTGCTCAGCAGCGGCGTCCAGCTCAAACTCTACCCCACGCCAGACCCCACAGCCAACACGAACACCAACGCAACCTACCCCTTCGACACCGCCGCCGCCCCAACAACCACATCAGCCACCCTCCCCGCGACCCTGAATTTCACAGCCGAGACCCTCACGGTCCCCGACGCGAGCTTCTGCGCCCGCAATTTTAGTGTGGTCTTCAACCCGGACAGCGCGACCTACCCGCTCTTCGAGATCCCCGTCTGGGCGGATCTGGTGCCGGCGGGGCAGCGCTGTGTTGTGGGTAGTGGGGAGGAGATCATCCTGGGGAGACCGTTTTTCCAGGCGGCGTATGTGTATATCACGGACGTCGGGGATCTGTATTTCAGTTCGATCCGGAGGGATGGGGGGGTCGGGGTCGCGCCGAAGGAGTTTGATTTGCATGCGGTGTTGGGGGCAGGGAAGGGGGGGGATGTGTATGCTAATGCTACGGCGGAAGAGGCCGGGGCGGAGAGGAGTGTGGTTTCGGGGGAGGGGAGGGTTACTATCACATGTAGTGTCTGGATGGTTGTTGCTGTGGGGGTGGTGGTGGGGTGGGTGGTTTAGTTGGGGGGGTGTGGTGGATTTAATTTGTTTTCGTGTCGGATAGAATAGTTTAATATACCCATTCACAATCTCTGCACTAGTATTCAGAATGGAAGGTACCAAGTCGTACGAAGATTGAAAACTTGATTCCATGCTCAGTATCCGAAAGGACCCATCACATGCATACACCCAGGGAGCCAGCCATCCGGTAACAGCAACAGTAACAGCAACAGCAACAGCAACAGAAACAGACCCGCTGCCTCCATCCATCCTGCAAGTATTCCCGAAACCCAAACCCGCTAATCCAACCAAATCATCATAATCATAAACCATCCCAAAACGCCATCCATACTACCAGTCATGAGAATGCAGGAGAGGACTCAATCCCACTCCATCGCCGCCCTACACCACCCCCAATACCCCAACAAAACCGCGTTAGGGTTGATTTCCACAACGTATGCATCGCACAGCAAACCAGACCAGCAGAGGAACCAAAGGTTACTGGAGATCATACACGACCAGCGCGCGCTCGATGTCCTGGAGCGTCTCCTTGTCGCCGTAGGCGTCCATCAGGGCGCGGTTCTTGCGGAGGCGCTCTTCTTCTTGTTGTTGGTAGAGTTGATTCTGGAGGGACTTCGTGGAGGTGGGAGAGGTGGCGGTGGCGGTGGCGGTGTAGTGGTTGTAGGCGCCGAAGCCTTGGGTTCTGTTAGTTGGGGGATTCGAGGAGAAGAACGGGGTATAAGAGCAGGGATGGAGACACGTACCCAGAGCAATGGCTGCCATCAGGGGCAGATACCAGCGGCTGGGTTTCTTGAGGGAGGCCGGGTTGATGTGCGGGGTGCTTTTGAAGAAGGGGCGGGGGTGTGGGGGGGAGAGGTTCATCATTTTGTTGAGTTCGATGAGTTCGGAGGTGTGAGTGTGGTTGTAGAGTAGAGTAGAGTAGTCAAATAAATTGTGCTTGAATAATGGATTGTCATAGTAGGGTTGACCCAAGTCAAACCGACGGGTGATTTGTACTTATAAAGTCGACGTACGGAAGAATGCATCACACCCACGTATTTGTGGCCTGATCGGGGGTAGTCGATCCGTCATACGATGCCATGCCCGCCCGCCCCCGTCGATCCCGCTTTCTGGGGTATATTACGATGAAGGCAGTGTCATTGGCTAGCTAGGTTGAGAGTGGAGCCGATGATGAAGAATCGCATGCACTCATCGTCTCACTCCACTGTCGAAATCCCTTTTCCGAGTGTGCTGATCCTGTGCGCTCAGTGCCTTGGGTGCTTGCCGAGGGGGGGAGGAACTCGGGAAGGGATATCGGGTGATGCTGCGGAGTATGGGTAGTGGGTTGGTCTGTGCACTCTTCACTCTGGTTGACTCTGTCTTCGCTGTCTACTATGTTGATTTTGTCTAGAGAGGATACTAGATTCTAGAAGAGTATGCTACGAGTATAATGATCCTCCGTGCCAGAGGGGTGCCACCGGTGGGCGTGAGGATTGCCGGATGGGGAATCGGTGTCTTTTTAGGGTCAGGGCTGGACTCTGCAGCTGCATCACCCTCTCTACATGACACACTTGTCCCTTTCTCAGCGCGTACAAGCGACAGACTCTTCTTGTTGCTGATTTAGGATGGCATGAGGATCCTGCTAGGTACTGTCACAGCAGACCACACACTAATACCGTTGATTAGTTACAATCTGCTACCAAGACCATCTTCAGCAAAGATGACAGTACGACAGTACTAACGCTTCAAGCTGATACCGATATACAAACCAGAAGGTTACTCCAACGGCACGGTATCCACAAAACACGTCTTCAACGACTCCTCCCCATACCTCCCCCCCAGCACCTCAACCTCATTCACCACCGCCCTAATCCCCGCAACCTCCTCCTCCGTCAACCGCACCTCCAGCGCCCCGACATTCTCCACCAAAGCCTCCTGCCGCGTCGTCCCCGGGATCGGGAAGATATCGTCCCCCTGCGCCAACAGCCACGCCAACACCAGCTGACTGACGGTACACCCCTTCTCCTCCGCCAGCCCCCGTAACCGCTCCACCAACTCCAAATTCTTCTCAAAATTCCCCTCACGATACCGCGGCATCACCAACCGTAAATCCCCTCGGGGAAATCCGCGCGCGACCGGATCCGCCCCGTCAGGATGCCCCGGGAGAGCGGCGAGTACGCCACGACGGCCACGCCCAGCTCCCGTGCCGTGCGCAGCAAATCGGTCTGCGGGGACTCGATCTCCAGCGAGAAGGGCGAGTACTCGACCTGCACGGCGGCGATGGGGTGGACGCGGTGCGCGCGGCGGAGCGTCGCGGCGCTGACCTCGCTCTGCCCCAGGTACTTGATCTTGCCAGCGGAGTGCAGATCGGCCATCGCCTGGACGGTCTCCTCGATGGGGACGGCCGGGTCGAGCCGGTGCGCGTACAGCAGGTCGATCTGCGAGACGCCCAGGCGCTGCAGGCTGCGCTCGCACGAGAAGAGGCACCGGCTGCGCGAGCTGTCGATGATCATCTGGCCGTCCTCGAACTCGGCGCCGAATTTCGTGGCCAGGAAGATTTGCGGTCGTTTGGTCGGGTTGGCGCGTTTCGCTGTCGAGGTAGCTGCTGTTTACTAAATGTCAGGTAAGGGCTAACTTATCCCGTTCCCTATATTCATACCACAACAACAATACACTTTCACCCTCTCTGCGAGGTTTATTCATATTTGATCGATCTCCATATAGTAAACTACCCTAGTCCCATCAGTAATCCCTTCGACATACCCTCCCCAACATCCCCAAAAGAAGGCACTCGATCCAATAACACTTGAAGGTCAGGCACAGCCTCCATCAGCTGCAAGAGCAACGGGCGATACATGCCTTCGGTCGTTCTTTCAAGTTCCTCGCCCCGGGCATTGAAGAAGAACAAAACGATTACAGTATGGTCATTCCTGTTCGCCTGAGCTTGTTGATATGCAAATTTCATGATGGTTTACTTGCTGCTTCCTGCTTTGCCTTTGATCCAGAGAAACCCAAGATTATCGACGACCTTTACCATGTCAAGCCAATCTAAATATTCTTGTGTCTCCAAGAGCCATCGGCCGGTCTTAGCGTGAGCAGCTTTGATTGTCGCCTGTCGACTCTCTGTCTGTTCAAATCGCAATGCATCCATGGCTGGCACACCTGCGATGGTCGACGTCGCACGATGTTTGCTTCTTTGTTGTTTCGCGAGCTACTCTGGGCCCTGTGGCGTTGATCACCGACAATAGCTCTTTGGCGTAAGCAGCTGCCGTGGCGGCTGCGTATCCCTGCCATTGCTTGTTCTTATGCGAATCAGCATAGTATGGAATCCCTCGTATCACCAGGCAAGGGAATTTATCCATCAGCCCGGCGGCTTCCATCTCAAAGCACAATTTATTCAGCTTTGCAGCCAGTCGGTCACGGGGGCCTGCATGTTCGATCACCTGATTTCCTGGAAGCGATCAAGCCGTGATGAACAGCTGGCTGGGTGTCCTTGCGTTCTGACGTAGGACCAAGTTGCTTGCATCGCAGTCTACGCATGTGCGCTGGGATGGAGCATGTTCATAGTTTGTACAGAACAGCCTGTCCGGCTCGCCTTTGGGAGGAGCGAGTTCTCGCAGCATTACAGGGCGGTGGGCCAGCATCTGGACCACGAGTGCGGCAATCTGATTTTCGCTTGACCAGGAGATAGAGGGACATACGAGGGGAATTGAAGACGAGATTTATTCCGATGAATATCTGAAGTTGTTGTTTGCTGTCGAACTCACCGTGGGATGGAGGAAATAGTTAATCGGACGGAGACGGAAAGCTTCCAAGCTGACGCCTGAGGCAACAACTTGAGGCAACAACCACGTGCGGTCTGAACTGATTGTACTACAGCCTGAGGCAGAATTGCTCCTGGCTGTGCGGGTTTTAATCTTCCCCGCCTTACCCTTTTGGGATGGATGCACCCTCCAACTTCTCATTGTACTTACAACATCGACATCTTCCAATTGCTTGATGATAGAATCCTTTTTTCTTCTGTCTCCCAAGAGCTTGACTTGTGCTCTGTGCTACACCTAGTCAGAGCCATTTTCTCTCACTCAAACTGCCTTCATTCTTTCCGTTGTGAGAACATATATTCCCGTGAAGCGAGCTACATCTCTGGGCAAATCTCTGGTCTTGGTATGAGGAAACATTCCCGAGCTACAAGCTGAATTCTATTAATTCATTGAAAAGAAACCCGAATCCGATAGACCTTCATCCTTCAAAATGTGACACGAACAATTTACAATAGGTCAACACTCAGAACGGTTTTATGCGAAGACTGAGAGAACGGGTACAGAGGCTGTCACCACACAATCAGACGAGCTTGATCACAGCGACTGTTGTAGCTTCGCCCAAGACCAATGAGAAGGCCTTATGCAATAATCGTACGCTGTCGTGTGTGTCGGATTCGTTCTGCCCAAGCACAGGACCCGGAATCTTCGGAATTGGGGCAATTCAAACAACCGTTCTATAATTCGCCGCGCCAATGCAGAGCATCGCCCTCTTTCGATCCACTACGAGGCAGATGGGCAATCACGGACAAATCAAAGACTGCAATTGCCGACTGTTCAGGGGCAAAATCGCGATAGCCGGGTTGCAATCAACTGGATTACAGGTAGGACAGATGGTGGCAACTGCGAGAAGCCCAACACATGAAACCACATGTCGATCGATTAGCGGCGAAACTATAGATGTGCAAGAAGTCGCGCAGCAGAACAGGAGTGAACGGTAGAGCTGCGAAAAATCTATTTTGCAATGGCACCAGGCTGGCTTGAATACCCTTTCCGGAATAAATCATGTTTATATTGGACAAAAACCTGGGTGGAACATGATTCGTGAGATCCTAGCATCAAACATCGATTACATATTGTGAGTCTTCTTCAAGACCTGGGCGGACACTAGGCTTGGGATACATTATCGAAGGCGACAGCTTGAAGGTATATCGCGACAACTGCGTAGAGAAGATGTAACATGTCACCATCGTCATCCACCTTGTAAGGCCCATATCGTTCCACAGTAAGCAACGCGTCATCATCCAGTGTGCCATCGCGAAGGTAAGCGGCGTAGGTTTCGGTCGGCTTGGCAAATAAGAGCCAGACTTCATCGCCATCCTCGGATATCAGGCATTTGCTAATGAGATAAGCATTGATTAATGGCATGATCTATCCATGTAAAGCTAAGTGACTTACTATCCCGAGAAAGCTTCTTCCCATGGCTGGCTATTCATAATCCATCCAACCAACTCTGCGGCTTCTTGCATGGTAACCTTATCACCGATCTTTGATCGCCGAGCCTTCTTGACTTCAATGATTCCACGAATCGCTTCAGTGCTTCGAACCCAAAGAGCCCCGTCAGTGAGGGCTTTAAACTTTGCGTGGTTAAACTTGGCGATGAACGGCACGCGAACCATGCTAAATTCGCATTGTGATGATCGGACAAGGCTAGCTGCGGCATTGAGGAGGAGGACGAGTGCGGCGTTAACAATTGCTTCATCTCCAGTGGGGTCCTTGTCATCGTCATCAGTACCGTCTTCGGCGGGGGGTCGAGCTGCCTCTTGATATAGCGTTAGTCACGGTGTGAAGCTCGGATATCAATCAATTTTTACCTTCGCCCTTCCCTTTCATGGGGCTTGACACAGTTCTTCTTGTAGATTGACGGACTGCAACTACACGCGTATCCGTTTTTCTCCGGGAGAAAGCAATGCATCTAGCTTGAAATCTCAACACCGGCATCCAGGACCCCGCCCATTGCGGGTCACCTTCTTGCAATTCGGACACGAGATGCTGATGGTTGACCAAGGCAAGATACCGCTTAGCTTCCTCTGGATCATTCACCAGATGAAGGGCTTGTTTCCAAACGCCTTCGAGGTTATAGCAAGCTGCTCTGTCGGCGAAATCACCGGGCCCCTCGGGAAATGGCCATATGGAGCGAAAGAGAACGAACTGTTTTTTCAAAACCTTTGACCCAGATCTCATCTTGAAAAGGTTGTGCAAACTACTCCTGTTCAACTTGCTGATTCGGAGGATTCTAAGCAATGCTTCCTTATTTTCTGGAATCGAAAAGCTCCCCGTGAAGGAATCAGCGTATGAAACTTTCTGAGACTCCTCTTTCTCAGGCTCCTCGCTCTTGGTCTTCTTGAGCTTTTTCACGCGAGACATGGCTGTAGTCGCTGTACTTGACAAGGGACTTGAAGAAAGAGGAAGGGATTGGAGAAGGAACGTACTCAGGAGTAACGGTGAAGGTCAACAGTAGCGTTGGATGAGTGAGGAAAGAGAGACAACAGACCCACCAGGGTCGGAGTAACACTGGTTAGGTCGCGTCTGCGTCCAAGTGATTCTGCCTGAGCTCCAAGGTGAGAGATCAGTAATGACGTCGGGTCCGACAGTAGTTGCAAAGTGTTAGCTCCAAATTGCAACTTCTGGTGTATACCGAGCGTCTACTACTCAGAATAGGGCCTCACCGTGGCCGTAGAAAAGTGAGACCTGAGCTCATGATATTGACAGTTATGATATCAGAAACGGAGAGCGTGCATCTAGAGAGATACGCGCAAGGTCTATCGAATAATTGCGCATTTGTGATTAGGGACTAGCACTCGAATGTTACGAACGCGGTAGAATAGCATTTGCTCGACCTCACAGCTATCGAAAGTGCTGCACCAGGAAGATTATGACTGTCTTGCTTGGAAATGATGAGATATCAAACAGCTCACAAGCCTCCTATATTCGAGAAAGCACTACTCAGTATAACCCGTCACCCTGTGGCGCTCCGCAGATAAGACGTTAAAGCACTTCATGAGTTATACGTCACTTATCACCACTTACTTTCAGGCTAACGCTCACGGAGTGTGAGCGTTGAGCTATTGCCATAATTACTTGGGCAGTGGAGTGAAGAGCTCGGAGTAAGGATCATGTGACAGCAGAGTCAGTCGAAACCAGAAGTCCGGCCGCTGACATCAGGATTCATAACACACCCTGTTCACCTTTCCCACATGAGGCCAGACGCTTTTCTCTTCTCATCACACCTATCCAGTTCCAGTTCTCAACGTCTTTGCCCTCTGTGACTCAACCTTCGCAAGACGTCGAAGACTCTCGAAACTGTCTATGTTAGGGTCGGTCTGAGGAGATCTATCACGCCTTCTTCATAGCTCTAGTTCCCCTTGACTTTTGTTGATCATGTCCTCCTTCTTGCGTCGAACCCTCTCGCGTATTCGTGCCAAGCTGCCTAGCACACAGAAAAGTTCAGAGGAAGCCGCTGATTCGGATTGGGTGCTTACAGAGCTCTGGAAGACCTACCGGAGAGCTGAGGATGCAGCCTCAGACTCGTTCACACAAGACGAATTGCGTCATTGGAATGTCGAAATACTAAGCTTTGATCCTCTCGATCCCAAAGCGCCTGACACAACCTCGAGTATCGATCCTGTTGCCTACTTCGCCCCCCTTCCCGTGGACTTTCATGAGAAGCATGCAAGGATCATTGACAAGGAAACCGAAGAAAAGCTGAACCATTATCGAAGATGCCTCGCACCTGACTACTCTCCCTACGGTGATGGCAGGCCGCGAAGCCCAGGGAGACGCACCCCAACCCTAGGGAATCGTTTCCGGGAGGAAATGTCCATCAGACGCAAAAACCTTGACCCGGAGTACGGGGACACCACATTGGGTGTCGCAACGAAATGGCGTGCGTATACGTGAGTCCCTCGCACACAAATACTCAGGGTCCCATCAAAGAAACTAATTCATACGGGTAGCAACTTTCACATTGATGGATTTCCCGACCGCGAGGATTCGTCGGGACGCAACCAATATGAAGCCTACAACATATTCGTGAACTCGAAGCACCCCCACGTGAAGCTCATCCTGAGCAATGCGGTTCGTCCAGAGAAAGAAGATAATCTGCTCCGGTCTGAGCTGCTAGTCATACTCGCGGTTATGCACTCACGTCTGCGCGTCGAGTCTTTCTTTGATCACGTAATCATGCCAGTAAGGCTTTTCCCTCTTCCCCTTCCCTCTTCCCCTTTTCTTAAACTTGTCATTCTGTCTCCTTTGGTCAGTCTCTGATTCCAGTCTTGATGACACGTCTGCATTTTTCTTACAGGTGATGGTCTTCTCGTTCATGCCCCCCTCCCACGTGCGCGTCCTCATGGCAATCTTCGACGGCCAAAAGATCCGGATCTCTAAGTCCGGTCTGATACCTTGCTCCGCGACCTCCCAGGATCTCTACGACACGCTCGTGCGCTACCTTGCCGGTGGCACTAATCCCAACGTCAATACGAAGAAGTTTCCGGTCAACCCGGATGAGAGATGTCCTATGGAGGAGTTTTAGTTTCTAGTATCGGGCAACTACATCGGTGGTTTCAGGAGATGGGTGTTGATGGTTGAGGATGAGATTTTCGACATGATGAAGCTGGCACTTTGATGTTTTTATTTGCAATTTAACGAAATTCCTGTTGGCGTGCGTCCTGGTAGAGGCGGTTGACCCTAGAGGCATCTAGGCGGCCGGCCACAACTCTTCGCCTTGGTCGTCTAATGCTCAATCATGCGTTGTTTCGGTATGGAAGAAGGCAGCTGCTGACGACTCAGGAGGTTAGTGCTTTCTCTTGATTCATAAACCCAGGCAAGCTTAACAAAGCTCACCCACCCGAGGTTCTGGTAGCGATAGAGAGGCCGCAGGAATGATACTCGAAGAAGAGAGCGTAGCGTATTCTCGGCCCATAGAAACATAGAAAATGCCGGTCACGATCTCTGTGACCACTGCGGCTTGAGCACCATGATCGTTGAGCCTTCATTCGTGTAGACTGTTCATTTCGTTATGACGCAGAAGGTGGTCTCGATTCCTGCGAATGGTTTCCCGTTTATGTCCTGATGTTTCGGCACAAAGAAGCATACAGAGGACCATTATAGTCCGCTCGCGAAGAGAACGTGGGCGACGCTCACGAAGCTCACCAGCCTGTCAAATGACACGATTTCTCTTGGGCGGAGATTCCGCTCGGCATCCTCATGACGACCAGCTGCATAAGTGGTGAAGGAAATCATGGCCAGAACATATGTTCCGGTAATGCACACCTAAATGGTCATGATCAAGGCGGCCGACGGCGTGGGCCTTGAAGGCTGCACGTCAACTAGTATCCGTGCACAAGCCAGGATAATCGGCACAGACATATGCACAACGCCTAGATAGAGGCCCTTTATGTCACACCATGCGTGGCCGGCCTAGTCCAGACATATTGAGGATTCTACGATCCTCTCAGCCGTGGATCCTTCGCGCTTGTGAGTCAGTAGGCAGGAAGATGGAGTTTTCGCCGCACGTTGCATCTCGATAGTAGAGAGGTTGTTGATGTTCATTCTACAAAGTTTCTGAAGGGTGTGTATTGGTAAAGTTGGAAGTATGATTCAGTCCTGAAGACATCACTCGGGGGAGGTAGGCCTAACGTCGACGACTGTCGTCTGCACTAACCAGGGTTCCCCTCTTTCGCACCTCCACACTTCGTCAACTTCCCCGCTCGGCAAGAAAACAATTACTGCAGAGCTATCGTCAACGGGCATCAAGGCATCGAATAGAACGCGTCATAAAAATTTTGTGCAATAGCATATCCCTGTTGTGAAACGGCTTTCGGCACGAAGATGCCCACCTACTTTTCTCTGGTGGGCAGTTGGTGGTCGCGTTCGATGCAGATTCGGCGCCGGACAAGGGAGTCGACCAGGGAGATGAATTGGCTAATTCAAGATGTTCTTGGCATAAGGAAACGTTATGCAGGCATAGATAGGCATCTGAGTTCCGACTGTGTGTTCTCGTGGTGGGGAGGGTGAATGTAGGGGCGTTTGAGTTGAGGATAAATATCATGTCATGTTCAACATGTCTGCGCAACATCTCGTACTCTCCCGTGCCTGACATGGAAGCTAGAGCTGCTTGAATCGAGGCCGTATTTGACCTTATAATGCTCTTCTGGCGACCGAGACATTAGGAAGCAATGGCTGTTTACAACCTGCACCATGCTTTCTATGAGCACTATCATTTTCTCCTCGCATTCGGAGTGGTAAGTAACGAGCATTGACGCGATGCATGTCGCTTTGGATTACTGATGGTTCACGGCCCAATATAGGTTCTGTTGGCATTAGTAGTGAATGGCTGCTACGAACTTTTGCTCAGCCCGCTGAGGAAATACCCTGGTCCGAGATTGGCAGCGGTCACCTACTTACTTTCGGCGTATCACACTGCAAAGGGTGACCATATTCTCTGGCTACAGAGCTTGCACCGTACCTACGGCGACGCTGTTCGGTTCTCTCCGGATGAGCTGAGCTTCACATCGGCGCAGGCCTGGCGGGACATTTATGGCCATGCTAGTGGCGGCAGGAAAAGCACCGAAAAGGACCACCGCTTTTTCGGACCGACCCCTAATGGTACGCCGGATATCATCCGTGCCAACGCGCACGACCACTCGCGCTTCAGACGGAATTTCTCCCATGCGTTTTCGGACAAGGCGCTGCGAGAGCAACAGCCCCTGATCGCACAGTATGCGGATATGCTTGTCGCGAAGCTGCAGGAGACTGTCCAGGAGAGCCCGGCAGCCAAGGTTGAGATGGTCCGCATGTATAATCTGACCACTTTCGATATCATGGGCGATCTGACCTTTGGAGATCCGTTGAACCTGCTCAAAGGCACCGGGTATATGGAGTGGGTGGGCGGAATTTTCGCCAGTGTGAAGATGCTCTGCCTCCTGCGCGTGAGCCGTTACTACTCCTGGCTCACTGCAATTATGGCTCTTGTTGTTCCTCGCTCCCTACGGGAAAAGGCCCGGGCGCACTACAAAGCTTGCAAAGCACGGGTTGATTGGCGAGTCAATCAAACCCTCGACAAGCCGGATATCTGGGGACTTGTTATGGAGCAGAAAGAGTCCCTGCAGCTCAGCCGCGACGAGATGTACTCCAACTCTCAGCTGTTTATGGTGGCTGGGACTGAGACGACCGCCACAGCGCTAAGCGGCCTCACGTATCAGTTGCTGAGGCACCCAGAGAAGATGCGGAAGATCACGCAGGAGATTCGTGAGGCATTCAAAGACGACAAGATTGAGATGACCCGCCTTGCGCATCTGAAGTATTTGAATGCATGCATTGAGGAAGGGTTACGGGTTTATCCACCCGTGCCTGTTGGCGCCGCTCGTCGGGTGCCAGAGGGAGGGATGACGGTTTGCGGAGAATATATCCCTGCAGACGCAAGTGGCCCCATCCGACTCCTTGTCCTAGTGAGCAGAAGCTTACCATGCGTTAGATTTCACTCTCTGTGCACCACTGGGCGACATATCGTAGCCCGGAAAACTTCAGGCGACCGAATGAGTTCGTTCCGGAACGATGGACTAACGATCCAGAATTTGCCAACGACAATAAGGCTGCCTTCCAACCGTTCTCCTATGGGCCACGCAACTGTTTGGGCAAGAAGTACGTATCGTCGCTACTTTAGACTACTCCGCAGTGTCTGTAGCACGGTGGCTGACATCAGGAATAGTTTGGCTTATCACGAGATGCGGATTATTTTGGCGAAAGTGCTAAACCATTTCGACTTGTCACTAGCGCCAGAGTCGGTGGATTGGGACAAGCAGAAGGTGTTCTCGCTGTGGGAGAAGAAGCCACTGATGGTGAGGCTGCATCCGCGGGTCTAGGCCTGGAGCCGGGCGCGCGTGCCACCCTGAAAAGCTCTGGATAATTTCCGGCCGGTGCAGTGTCGAATGGATGATCGTTTTGGCATTGTGTATCTCATTTTGGGTATGAAAAAGCCATCAATAACTTCTCGTGCTTCCTCGAGTGAGCCAGGAACGTACGAGAGCGTAGAAATGGATTAGTGGACGCCTCGAAAGCTGCACTGGGTACTCTCAGCGCAACGCATCAGTAACTTGTACGTACGGTAGCAGGCCCACGCGGGATGATGCTTACCCACGTACCACTGGCCGAGTCATCCATGGATCTAATCCATATGAGCATCTTTCAGCCGCTTGAATTGAGTCTCCTTGTAGACTAACAGTTGTGTGTAACTGGAAGTGAACGGCAAACAGTCAGTTAAACTAAGTCACTGGGCTCTCGGAGCTGGATCTCCGGGCGGTGAGGCGGGCTCAGTTGGGAGATTTAGAAACTCGGCACAATCTCGGGCCGAAGTGGTCATGCTTCAACATCGCCTGGTACGGACTAGGCTAGGCTAGGTAAGGTAAGGGAAAGAAGAGTTCACATTCTCAGCCTCAGGCAGAAAGGTTCCTTTGAGTATCCCCACACCGGAACAAATTCCCTTATTCTTTATTAGGGTTGAGACAATGCAGTAGGGTAGGCACCTAGTGATAATCCTAACTCTCAGGCTACTGTGTGGAAACCACTTACCTTAGCGTCTATTGTGCATTCCAACTGCACTGAGACAACAAAAGTACCTGATTGCCTACACAGGTACGGTCCCTGCTCGAGACTGGTGACGTCAGGGACAGTGGCCACCAATGAAGAGGGCGGGCAAGACAGTTCCGAATGGTGGCGTTCTCTCATGGGATACTTTCAGGCCCATCTGGCCGTCATTGTCCGTTTTCCCGTGCGACGAATGCCGCTGGTTCGCCTATCGTGCCCACACGGTGGCCAGACGCGCTTCCTGAACATTCCCCCTTTCCACTTAGAACTTGAGATATATTCTGCCCATGTCCCTCCCCAATGCAGCCCCAGTGTGTCCACCATAACAGAAGATCTTCGCGGTTGATTTCGTGGGAGCCGGTCGCAATTGGCGGGTCTTCGAGGAGGTACTGCACTGAACACTTATGTCTCCGATGATCAATCGGAATTGGCGACCGGGTCATTGTGTAGCTGCATAGTTGGGTGATTTTCGCCACTGCCTTCCTTCTTCTCCTTCTTCTTCTTGTTCTTCTTCTTTTCTTCAACTCCCGGTTCCCTTCTCCGTGAAAATCCTTTTTCCTTTTCATTTGAGCGAGGGATGTCAACAGCATTCGTGTGTGACATGCTTGTGTCTGGGGCCTGCACCATGGTTTATGTGCCACAATGAGTTCAAGCACACTACCAGGACCTCTCAATTCGACGCAAACCCTACCCGTCTGAAAGATAACGCGATACCGACTTGGTTCTGGCTACTCATACGTGCAGTCGAAACCTCGTCAAGTTATCGCATAGCCCAGGGAACATGAACCGTACAATGACCGGCTTGTCGAACTTCGAACTCTTCTCGATGCCTCGGCTCGTTTCCCTTTTCCGTACATACACTGTACAATATCGTCTTTTTTTGCAGTCGCGGCGTATATCCGTAGTCACTGAAGGGATCTCCCTGCTCTGCGTCGCTCGCTGATTAGCATGCCAATGCACAGGAGCAGTTTGCGATATAAATTCCATTGAGCGAT